CGTATAATTTTTTAACCATGGCCACAATATGGGTTGTAATGCTAACAAAAAGAATATGGGCTCCAAAAAACCTTAAGATTTAGAAAATGGGCTGTAAACTATTAGAACTAATGGCAGATGGGTTGTATGTTGTTTTCCATAGATTTGAGGCTTTCCTAAAAAAAGGTTGACGCACAAGCAGTGATTGTTGGATGTCCATCCAACGGCCGTCGTGTTTCTTCAATCTCTACTCTTCCTGCTCTAGTCGCTCAAAGAAGCGCCGGCGGGACTGCCTGCTCCCTCCTCCCGCGGCCGGCTGTGCTACCGCGCAGGCCTCACCGCCCCACCGTACTCCCATCGCTGGCCTAGCCATCCCTCTACTCACTCACACCTGCTGTTATTCTTCGGCGACGGCAGACGAACCAGTAAACCCTCGTATAGTCGTACTCCCCTCCGCGTGGGAAACAACTGCCGAGTCTTCCCTGCCTCCGTGTCGTTCCCTTCCTAGGCATCACCGTCGTCCTCCGCCCTGGTGCTCTCGGCGCGTCCTGGTCAACATGGTCAACGACCGACATACATCTGAAGTGGACTGTACGTGGAGAGGCCGACAGCTGGGTCCACGGCCGCACGCAAGGAAATGCATCCTTATTACGCGCAAAATAATGATTCCTCCACCTGACATCAGGGACCCACCGAAAGGGCCTCTGTATTTCGTGAAAAAAACGTTACCGCCGCTGACAGCTCGGACCCACCAGCTATATCTTCGCACGCAAGAAAGTGCCTCCTTATTACGCACAAAAAAATGAATACTCCCCATGTTAGCTGGGACCCAGTATAGTGGCAGGATGACTTGTGGGCCTACTAAGTTGACGGGGACAGAGGGCTTTGTCAACTTAGTCAATATGCATGATTCTAGCTCCAGTGTCGTACGATGTCCATCCAACGGTCGTAGTGCTTCTTCAACCTCTGGTCTTCTTGCTCCAGCCGCCCAAACCAGTGCCGGTCGTGCCTCGTGCTCCTGCCTCCCGTGGCCGGCTGCGATGCGACGGAGGCCTCACCGCCCCCTACTACTCCCACCGCTGGCCAGGACATCCCTCTACTCACCCACACCCTATGTTATTCTGCGGCGACGACAGCCTCACACCGCAGCGAACCAGTGAACCCTCGTACTCCTCTACACGTGGGCATCCACTGCCGCGTCTTCCCCGGCTCCGCGTCGTCCCCTTCCTAGGCCTCGCTGTCGTCCACCGCCCTAGTGCTCTCGGCGCGGCGTGCTCAACGTGGTCAAGGAACGGCTTCCATCGGACGTGGACTGCACGTGGAGAGGCTGACAGTTGGGTCCACGGTTGCAGCAAGGAAGTGCCTCCTTATTACGCGGAAAATAATGATTCCTCCACCTGATAACTGGGACCCACCGGACGGGCCATTGTATTTCGCGAAAAAAACATTCCCCCTGACTGCTGCGACCCACCAGCTACATCTTCGCACGCAAGGAAGTGCGTCCAGGAAAAAAACGATTCGTCCCCCTGACTGCTGGGACCCACCAGCTACATCTTCGCAGGCAAGGAAGTGCCTGACAGTCGAGACCCACCTGGTCGAAGCGTGCGTAGCGTTGTCATTCTGGTCGCGAAAGTGTACGTACATACCGGTCGATGTAGAGGCACGCACGTGTCGTAGTAGAGGCGCGCACGTGTCGTAGTAGAGGCGCGCACGTAGCATGTACACGTACATACAATGGCCAGGGTGCAAGAAAAAAATATGGCCACGTACGTATATACGGGGAGGGTCTCGAACGCCTACTCGCGCATACGTACGGCCAGGGCTCGTGTACATGGCTGGGTCGGAACGGAGAAACAACGTCGTCGTCGTGTTCATGGGGAGGCAACGAAATGCGTCGTGTTCATGGGGAGGCAACGGAATGCGTCGTGTTCATCGGGAGGCAACGGAACGCGTGGGAGCCAACCGGCTGGTCAGAACGGAATGCGTCGTCGTGTTCATTGGGAGGGCTTGGACGGAACAAGCGATGGAAACGAGGCATGGCGTACCGCAGAACGGAGGAAACGGCCTTGTGTTCGACCGGCCACGTTTGAAACGGGATCCTGTTCATCGGGAGGGGTGGTGTACTGCAAAACGGAGGAAACAGACCTCCTACGGTCGAAACGGTGGTCCTGTTGATCGGGAGGGGTGTGGCATACCGCAAAACGGACGAAACGGACTTGTGTTGGAGCGCTACGGTCGAAATGGGGGTCCTGTTGATCGGGAGGGGTGTAGCGTACCGCAAAACGGACGAAACGAACTTGTGTTGGAGCGCTATGGTCGAAACGGGGGTCCTGTTCATCGGGAGGGGTATGGCGTACCGCAAAACGGGACTCCACGGGATACTATTCATCTACACCGTCGACCTCCTCCAGCCTCCACGGGCTCCTGTTCATCCAGCCTCCACCGCGCGCTACTCCACCAGCTACTATTCAACCACCCCTCCATTGGCACCCCTCCACCGTCTACTGTTCATCCAGCCCTCCACGGGGTCGTCCTGTTCATCCAGAGGCAATGCCACGGGGTCCTGCATCCACCCCCACCGCTCACTGTTCATCCAACCCCCCCACCCCCGCAACGCTCACTGTTCATCCAATCGACCGGCTTCAGTTAGCAGCAGTAGCGAAGGAATCGCTCGATCGGGTTCAGTTAACAGCCATCGATCGATCGCTCGGGTTCAGTAACGCGTAGCCTGCAGTGCAATCGCTCGGGTTCAGTTAGAGCCCAACGCCTCGCTCGGGTTTAGTTAGAGCCAACGTCTCACACGCACGCGCGTACGTGTACAAGAGAAACGCGCATCGCTCGGCCCCCGACCTCCCACCGTAACCGGGAACTCCCAGAAATTTTTCTCGCCCTCGCTTCTACCACGGTTTTTTCCGTCATGGACGGCCCAAAGAATGTCATGCAGCTGCATCTCCGGCCAACCCAGGACGAAAAGCCCATTTTCTGTTATGATTTTTTGTCATAGAAGTAGGAGCCCACCACATCTATGATGATACCAGGTTTTGTCACAATTATCGTCATACAAATGTTATATGTATGACAGGAAAAAATTCGTTCGGCCCAAAATGTCAAGGATGTATCTTCTTTTATAGTGATTCCGTTGGAACCTACCTGGGAATGGACAATTCTGAGTGGAATCTATGTATAGAGCTTTACTCCAGTCTGATGTGCCAATTGATAATAACAAGATCTGGAAGATGAAGATATCTCTTAAGAATAAAATCTTTGCATGATATCTTCGTCGCGGAGTAATTCTTACCAAACGTAACCTTATTAAGAGAAACTGGCCTGGAAATACGCAATGTGTCTTTTGTCAGCATGATAAGACAATAAAATATTTGTTATTCCAATGCAAATGGACTCGTTCTATATGGCCAGTCATCCAAATAGCTTCTGGCTTGTATCCTTCTTGTAGTGTTACTAATATATTTGACAACTGGTTACATGAGATTGATCACAAGTTAAGAACTCTTCTTAGGGTGGGAGTGCTTGTCGTTATTTGATCGCTTTGGCTATGTAGAAATGATAAGATTTTTAACAATACAGTACTTCTCTTATACAGGTTATCTACATATGTGCTGAGACTCTTCGTTTTATGGTCCTCTCTACAAAGCATGAAGAATCGAGACATGTTTACGGAGGTGTGTACACGATTGGAGGCTACGACGAGGGATACTTTTACCCAACATATGTGGCAGCATGATCTTAGATTGGCGCCCTCCGGTTTAGGTGTTTTGCAAACTACATGTTTCTTTATATTTTGCCTCTTTTTATTTTTGCCTTTCGTGAGAGGACTTTGTTTGACTGTGTACATTTTAGTTATGCAGCTTAAACCTTTTAAGTAATAAAGCATCCCTTATCAAAAAATATAGTGTCACAATAATTTGAATATAGTGTCAACAGTTGAGAGATAGATAACATCAAATCCGAAAAATATTATCCGTTGGATAAAGTTTTCATCTCAAAAGATTCTGCCACGTGCCCTTTTAATTGAAGGATCCTGATAAGTGCCACACGTGTGACACGAACACATGGCAACTCCAAACACTTTTTATGACAAGTTTAGTACGTAAGAATGACGACTTTTTTTCGGAGGACAAGTTCTAGTTTTTTTGGTTGTTTTTTCTTTTCAAATGATAAATTTAGTTGTAAAAAACTTCAGGGCCGGAGTGCTTCGTTCAACACGAGACACTTATCATTTGGGGACACTTATCATTTGGGTTAATTGAATCTCCACTATAGTCTCATATTAGTCTAAAAGTTATCATGCCAAGAATCTGATTCTCCAATAAGAAAACACGTGTAGAAGGAAATAAAATGTCGAGAATGTATTCCTCCTGCTATTATATACTCCCTCCGACCCAAGATTCTTGTCTTAGATTTGTCTATATACGAATGTATCTATTCACATTTTAGTGTTTAATACATCCGTATCTAGATAAATCTAAGACAAGAATTTTGGGATAGAGCGAGTATTTGTTGACGTGCAAAATACGTACTAATTTACTAGTAATAGAAGAGGAGAAGAACAATACAAGGTCTGATAAAGGTTAAAAAGGCCACATCGCGAAAAGAAAGGAAACCCCACGCACCTAAACAAACACGACTCGAACCTTAAACAAACAGCGACTGAAAGCATATATTTTTTCTTCCGAAGAGAAGGATTATCCTGGCCTCAGTGAAAGTACTTGGCCCTGTCCTTGAACCAATAGAATGCATCACACTTAATTTGCTTTGACACATGACCAAATGAATTGAACTTATTCTCAAATACTCTACCCCGCTGCGTTCCTTCCAGATGGTTGAAGAAATATCACCAGTTGCAGTTATCAAGAAATTGAAGCCTTGCACGATTTAGGCCCCGTTTAGAATGGGTGTAATTTTCTGTGCCCATCGGTATTTAGTTCCAAGTTTGAGCTAAATACCTGTAGCCACACAAATTTTACACCCATTCCAAACAGCCCCTTAGGTGCCGTTTCATGTTAAGCGAGGTGCGAACCTTCCATAATTCCATTCGTCTCTTTCAGCCACAAGTCCTTTTGACAGTCAGGCCAGGTTTCAAGATTTTCACATTCATGCACCTCCAAAACATGGAGTTTCATGAAAGTATCATGCAGTGCCGTCCATGAATAGTTGAGATGCTTGAGGAACCTTAACCGAAGCACGGTCACCTCCCAGTACTTGTCCTCGCCTACACTACTTATGATACCTCCCCTGATATAGAGTTTCTTCAAGTTTTTCAGCTCTCTAGGATTAACCCAGCAAGGAAATTCTGCTACTGGGAAGCAACAGATCTCCAGCTTCTCAAGACCCGAGGGGAGAACAGAAGGCATTGCATGATTAACAGCAAGAGTAGCAGCACTGCTTGATCTTGAAAGACGATTGTCACCGTGTATAGCAGGTACCGAGGATAACCCAGCCCCCCAAGTAAGTGTGAGCGACCGGAGGGCACAAAACTCGTTAATTTTCTCAAACTGATCACTATCTACACTATTTCCAATTCTAATGCTCAGCGTCCGTAATTTTTTCAGCATGACAAGTTCCTTGAGATGGCACGGGTCTTTGCTCCTAGTGTTTGCCAGAACAAACCCCTTGAGAACTTCAAGGTGAGAAAGCTTGATTAGCCCCTTGGGCATACCTGACAGCAAGTAGCATTCAGAAACGTCCAAGTACTCCAGCTTCACTAGTTTCACTATCTCCTTTGGTAGATCCTCCAGATTATGGCATGCTTTGAGATCAAGGATGACAAGTCTTGTGAGCTTTCCAATCGAGGTAGGAAGGGCCTCGATTCTCGATATCCCTCTGAAACTCAGGTACTTCAATTGCTTGCACGACTTGACCTGCTTTAGGAACTCAACATTGTTCAACTCTACGTGATGCACCCGAGGGTCATAATTTGTATCCTGCCATCGTCCTAACTGCACAGTGCTCAAACATGTCTTTCCAGAAAACCATGTCTTGTCTAACTCAAGATACTGTTGTTTAATATTGTAAACTGTCAACACATCGCGATGGAAACTGGTAAGGATCTTCCCATCCTGCAAACATGCACGCCGGGTTCTGGTGAAGTCATTCTTGGAGCTGCCATCAGAATTGAGCTCAACAAATGCTGCACTCTTTGCAGCTTCAATCAGTAGCGCACGGATCAACGGTTGCACCTTGCACCCGTGGACTTTGTCGCAGTGGTATTTCTTAACTGGCTTAATGAATCCCTTGGTAATAAGCAGCTCATTAAAAAAATTCTTCCCCTCTGAAACTGAACTCACAAAGCCTTCTCCAATCCACCAATGAATTAGCAGCCTCTTCTTGATGACTGCATCCTCTGGGAAGACAGCAAGGCACAAAAGGCACTGTCTCAACCTCGTCTCCAGTCCATTAATGCTACCCTTCAGCTTCCGCATCTCCACATTTTCCCTGTTAATGTTGAATGTATCTGGTGCTGACAATGGACGAGAAGATGAAGCTTCATGTCTTGCAGCCATCAATCTGATGGAGACATCCTGAACCTTGAAAGAGTCATTCACCTTACCCCATATATTTGTTATCTCTTTATGAATCACACGGAACTTTTCTCGCAGGCCACCCATCTGCTGAAGTTTTAAGGAGCCTTCGGCATCTATCATAGGCCCCTCAAAAAGTTCATCAATATGTTGCTCAATGGCATCAAAATTACTGTATATCCCTTTCTCTTTCTCCTGGACCTTCTGGAGTACATCTTTGAGCTGTGACAACTCATCGCTGATATTGCCCAAGAGAATAAAAGCACCTGATTTATCTTCATGGGCTAAGGCTTCTAATGAGAGGTGCCTGATGGTGTTCAAACATGTCAATAACGGCGAGAAGGCCGCATTAACAATGCTGAAGTTTGCATTTCCATCCTGCTTCTTTTTCTCAACCATGCCAAGTACATCTACCAAGTGCTTAATGCCTTTTTCGATCTCATCTTGGAAGCTCAGAGGTTCCAATTGAACATTGCAACTGGCGTTAAGGCGTGACAATAGTGGCAAGATGAGACCTTCCATTGTTCTAAAGCTTTCCTCAACTTCTCTCTTATTTATATCAATCACATGTAGTGCATCCTGCAAGCAGTCTACTTGACCATCAATCTTGGCAAGGAACTTATAGTTCTGAGATTTGTCTCCGCCCTCAGTAGCTACTGATACTAGATGATCAATGGTTTTTATAAGTTTCAGTACTGGGGAGAAGACATGGTCTACAATACGCAAGCTCCCATTGGCTGCTTCCGTTCTTGATTGTACGGTGGCAAGAACATCGTTGATACACTGCATTCCAGTCTTGATACCATCCAGGAAACGAGCTTCTGAACCACCTTCTGCAGTCTTAAGGTATCGAAGTGATTCAAAAAACTCATGTTCATCAAAAGACAGTTTCTCAGTATTGGCTTCTGATGTGGTACCATCCTCAACCCACCCCTCATGATGCTCCACTGCCCATTTCATTCCCTCAAAAGGTGCAGGAGCTCCAGATGCATTCCGGTATACTATCCCCAATCTTCTTTGCCACTTAGAGACTGCCATGCTAACATACGTAATGCTCTCATAGACCCCCTCCTTGTCTTCCTTGATCCCCTCAAACAATTCTTCAAGATGTTGCACTTCCCATCTGATCTTTTCTGGAAGTTCATGCATTGTAGGACCCCTTCCGTCATTTTCAGATGAGCTCACTATCCCAAAGAAGCGGCGTCTAATTTCAGCAACACGCAACACCAGTGGCTCAAACACATCTTCCTCAATGCTTTGGTGGACAAGCATAACGACTGATGGAACCAGTACTGAAGATCAAAGTATGATGAAACAAATATGATCTGGAAAGCAGCAGGTAATGTTTCTGCAGGACAATCAGAACTGATTAGTGATATGCTGGAGACCAATGGAAGCTTAAATCTATTATTTTTTAATCAGCCATCCTAGAATGGAGCATATGCCCTGCTGCGTATGACAAGTGAAGACACAAAATACATGCTGTTCCTGCTGGTGATTTCGTTACCTGGTGGTATGAGGCATTTGTCACTCCTTCGGAGTAAACAGCGGGTCCAGGCTGCCGGCGGCGAGCAGGGAGATGGCAAACTACATGCTGTTCCTGCTGGTGATGCGGCCGTTCATGCTGACGGCGAGCATTGGGCAGATCCGATTCGGCGACACCTGCGCGGAGGCCAAGAACTTCTTCGTGCGGCTGCGGGGAGGCGAGGCACGGGCGGAGAAGCGGCAGGGCGCGAGCGCGCTGGCGGCAGTGAAGGCGGATATCGACCCGCGGAAGGTGAAGGGGGACCGGAGCAAGTCGGTGCTGTTCGACGCGTGCCGGCTGGCAGAGCAGCTGCGCGGGATGGAGGTTAGGAAGCGGTGGAGGCTCGTGGCCGGGGTGTGGGTGGAGTATGTTAGCCAGGATACTGCACGGCAGGTTCCTACGGAAGAATATGTCAAAAGTAATTATAGTAATGACAACTGCCAAGTCTTACTTGTGGACTGAGACTGAGAACATGCCAATTGAAGACTCCCAGGAAACTGACCTAATATTTAGGGTCGCGCTAACTGCCACATGTGTGGCAGGAAAGGGGACGCACCACACGTTTCTAATGTAAACAGATTGTCACGTCAACGCATGCATGCATGCAGAAATCTTTTTGGATTTTCAGTTTTTAAAATATTTTATCTCTTAAACAAAAAATCCGATTGAAAATCCGTTTTCACCATTAAATCCCTCGCGATGAGATCTTCGAAACTAGATTCCATGTTGATATGTTTTGATGAATTTTTTTTTGGATTAAAAGTTGCCATGTCTATTGCATATGAATTGCCATGATGTTTACACTGAAGTTGCCATGATATGTTTCAGCTATTTTTTTCTACATTTAAAAGTAAATTTTGACATTTATAAAACCGGGAATTAAGAAACTAGACTTGCCATGAACCATAAACTAAAATTGCCATGATACATGCACGTAAAATTGCCATGGTTCATACAAAAAATAATTTTTATGGTCAAAGTACTGGAGTTGCCATCATCAAAATACTAAAATTGTCATGATCTACAAACTAAAATTGCCACATGACAACTTTAGTTTAAGCCCTATGGCAACTGCAGTGTAAACATCGTGGCAACTTCTGGCAAAAAAAATTCGTCGAAACATATCAACATGGGGTCTAGTTTTGAAGATCTCGTCGAGACGGATTTAATGGTGAAAACGGATTTTTAGTTCGCTTTTTTATTTAGGAGATACAACATTTTTAAGCAGAAAACCCAAAAAAATTCTGCTGATGTCATCTATTCATACGTGGCAAAATGAGTAGTGATGGAGGCGTGTGGGCGATGTGCAAACGCCCACACGTGTGGGCGTTAACATTTCGAAAATTTAACCAGATTTGGTATTTGCAAGTTACCGGTTAACTCCGTCAGATTTCTTGGCAAGCTTTGGTGTGTGCTTGTGTTTGGTTCTAGACTGCCACAAATAAAAGCCCATACATGCCCACATTTAAGACAAAGGCATCAGTAAGATAGTGACGTTCCAACAGCACATCACTAAGGCCTGCCACATCTTGCAAGATTAAATTTAAGGTAATAGCACTACAGGTTCGTGGAACTTGTCCTACATGTGATGGTTTAGTCCTACAACTTGTAAAAGTGGACTGATCAGTCATACAACTTGTAAAGGATGTACTCCCTCTGTTCGAAAATACTTGTCGAAAAAATGCATAAAAATGAATGTATCTAGAACTAAAATATGTCTAGATACATCCATTTCCCCGACAAGTATTTCAGGACGGAGGGAGTACAAGTTTAGTCATGGGCCACTCACACGCAGCCAAGTGGCGCCAGCGTGGCGGAGACAACCAGCTCTGTACTTTTTGCAGATACCCCCTGCCTTTTGTTTTAATCAACCTGCACTACACCCCACCTTAGTTAATTTTTGTGTTGGATCTGTTTGTCCTTCTTCCTTCTCTGTTTCCAGCATCCATCAGATTTGCATGACTGAAAAGCAGGGGAGATGAGCAGAGCGCCATTTGCCGAACAACACCTTCTCATCGTCTTGTAAAGCCAACAGCAAGTGCTTACAAATCTTCTAGGATTATTATGACTCTGTATGTAGTGAAGGAAGAATGATTTCAGATATCTTGGCACATTCGGCGAGCTCCAGTTAGCAGGCGCCGGGATATTTATGTGGACTTGAAGCAAGCCGAATGAGATGAGAGCAGCATTGCTTTGCTGAGAAGAACAAGCACACCATTTCACCTCGTGCATACATGTGCAGGAGCAGCATTCCTTTGCTTGAAATTGCATCAGCAAACGAAATGTGTGAGTATTACTACTCCCTCCGTTCGGAATTACTTGTCTCGGAAATGGATGTATCTAGAACTAAACTACATCTAGATACATCCATTTCTGCGACAACTAATTCCGAACGGAGGGAGTACTTGGCACGGTTCTGCCAGCCAGGGCCAGAATAAACTTGCCATATTACTAGTAATACCGAATGAACAAAATACTAACCATCCAGTGCACACACGGTACCGAGGTGAAAAAGAACTGGCCTCACTTGATGTACTTAGTCATCACGGAATTTAAATTCTGGGCGACGTACCAAAGCGATCACATATACGTACCAAGCTGCAGGCTATCCTTCTGCTAGGCTAAACCACGTGTCACTCTGCTTCTTCTTCCTTGGCATGGCTCCAGCAAGCATATTGCATCTCTGTAGATCTGCATAAATCTTACTCCATGGGCTTGTAGCAAAGTCAATTCATCACCCTCCTCGGCAGCCAATTCTGTAATATTTCGAAGTCAGTTTATCCATAGCTATCCTTCTCGATGACCAAATGATCATCACTTTACTCAATCCTCGCCTTCTGGATGACTGAATGAATGATCATCAATTTAATCGATCCTTGTAGTACTTGCATGCAGCAGTGGCTAGCGCCAAGCAGCACCCAGCAAGCACGCACACATACACAACAACCACGCATCCATGGCGGCAACAAGCACACCCAGCCCGCACACCCGCATCACGGCGACGGGCGGCAGGCGGCGGCTGCAGAGGCGAGGCGAGTCCAGACGACGGTGAGCGACTTCAGCGGTCAGCGGCGGCATAGGCAAGGCGAGTTAAACGGCGTCACGGCGCTGAGCGACTTCAGCCGTTAGCAGCGGCAGCGACTAGAAACTCCAGGCGGCGGTGACGATGAGCGACTCCAGGCGGCAGGCGGCGGCAGCAGCGATGCTCAGCGACTCCAGGCGGCGGCGGAACAGAGAAGGGAGTAGGACGAACAGATCCAACACAAAAATTAATTAAGGTGAGGTGTAGTGCGGGTTGATTAAAACAAAAGGCTGCAAAAAGTACAGAGCTGGCTTGTTAAAAGGGAGAGAGAAGGACTTGGTGGAATAGTCGTTGTATTGCTTGAGCCTCATGGGCATATATATAGGAGTACATGATCTATTTGAAGTACAAGGCAAGCCAAAATATTTCTTAGTCTAACCTATGTTTCCTAATACAATCACGTTACTCAACATGGCTGTCTCCGCCACGCTGGCGCCACTTGGCTGCGTGTGAGTGGCCCAGGACTAAACTTGCACATCCAGTGTAGGACTGATCAGTCCACTTTTACAAGTTGTAGGACTAAACCATCACATGTAGGACAAGTTCTAAGACCTGCGGCTGCGGTGCTATTACCTCATTACATTTCGATGACTACGAAGGAAAATTTAATGACCCGACAGTGGAGGGAAAAAGACAATCCATGAGACAGTGACGTTCCAAGAGCACAGCACTAACCCCTGCCACACATTACAAAATTAAGTTTTAATGGGAGAGATGGAAGAAAATTGTAACAGCCTAAGAAAAATCCACGAAGTTTCCTACGTAATGCACCTAAATAAGCCAAATGGAAAAGATGCCACAGGAAGTCAACAAGCCCAGTCGCCCACCTCCAGATCTTGACGAGGGAAAAATCCTCCAGATCTTGCTCTTCAAAATAAATATTCTCCTTCCAAGTGCGGGCATAGTTGAAGGCAATCATATTTCTCAGAGAGAAGTCTAGGATAGAAGAGAAAAACCATGTCGGTGGAGCATCTGCTGCATGCAATGGTGGAAAAGCTGAAATTGGAACCTGTCCTGGAGATGGGTCGGTTGCTTGGCATTGGAAGCCTACTTCAGGACTTGCAGAAATATTTCAGTATGATCCATGGGAAGATCAGTGGCATCGATGAGAGTGCAGTTCTTATGATCAACGTCAACAACGAGCAGTACCTCCAGCTCCTGCAGAGGCTCTGGTCTCTCACACTTGATACTGATGACGCGCTGAATAGGATCTCTCGCCATCTGAGAAAAAAGGGGGGCATTTTCTCATTTCATCAGGTACGCAGATCGCCCATCTTTCGGAGGCTCCATTTTCGCCGTGTCAATAAGATAAGAGAGGCAGTAGCTAGCTTGGAAAACTGCTATGCACAAATATATAGAATCAGACTTCCAGCCAAACATACAGATATCCAGGAAGCTATGAGTTGCCAGAGAACATGTGGCGAACCTGAAGGTGTACTTGGTAGAGAGAGAGAATTGGACGATGTCCTAAGAATGATGCAAACTGATGACAGCACACCCGGCTTGTCAATTCTCCCCATAACGGGAATGGCTGGAATCGGGAAGACTACCCTCGCTCAGCTAGTATTCTGGCATCCATGGGTTGTTGATACCTTTGGTGATGATCGGATTTGGGTTTCGGTACCTCGTGATTTTAACACCATGGTGATATTGAGTAGAATAGCACAAGTTCTAACCACCCAGCAGTGTAGCACAAGTGATTCGCCAGAAGAAGAAATGATAGAGCAGGAGGACTCTGTGAAACTGAAGTGCCTTGTCAAAGAGAAACTCAATGGGCGGAGATTTTTCCTTGTACTGGATGATGCGTGGGATCAGGATCGGGAGAAATGGCAGAAGCTGATGCAAGTCCTTGATAGTGCTGGAAAGCCCGGAAGCAAGATGATTGTCACTAGTCGCATCCCTGATGTTGTAACATTGACCAAGTCCCTCAAACCATACACCTTACAGCGTCTCTTGCCAGCTCATTCTTCAAGTCTGCTCACACAATGGATGCAAAATCCTGCAGAGTTGCCACCACGGCTCATCCCAATCAGAAAAATGATTGCTGAAACATGTGCTGGCGTGCCCTCATTACTTCTCAGCGCATCAAACAAGCTGAAGAGCATACGGAAAACTCAAGTCGCTTGGCAGCATGTCCTGAGCAGATTTGATCTCGTCTTCTATGCAGACCGTCTTTTGTTGGATGCGGCTTATGTCAGCTACCAACATCTCCCTCCAAGCATCCAGCAATGCTTTCTTTACTGCTCACTGCTCCTAGTTCATAGCTTTACACCTGAACAACTGACTGACATGTTTGTTGCTGATGAGCTCATAAAACTGATAAGCAGCAAATCTGACATGCATCTCTACTTCTCCCAGATGATGACAGAACACTTCTATGATGTAGTCCAGAAATCTCGACATGGAGGAAACATTGTTTACAAGATGCATCCTGGGATGCAACTTCTTGCACAAAGGATCAGCCGGGGATTCCACTTAGCGATAGATGCTAGAAAGGAAATAATTTGGCCTTCGTGTGATGCCAGGTGTCTCTCCTTACTTGTTGATTGTGAAACCAGTAAGCTTCCACCAGAATTGTTTGAATTGGAAAGTTTGAGGACCCTAATATTGCTCAGAGATGAAAATATGCTTTTGTCTGAGAACAAGTGCGCAATCACCGATATCCCAGCAGAGTTTTGCCAACGTCTGATAGCTCTGCGTGTACTGCATATGCAATCTTGCAGGATCAAAAGGATTCCTAGGTTAATTGATATGTTACAGAATCTAACCTATATCAATCTTTCTCACAATGATATTGAGATTGTACCAGATTCAGTTAGCAACCTTCGATTCTTGACCCACTTGAATCTTTCACAAAATGAGATCACTGAACTGCCAGAATCAGTTGGAAAGATGCAATCCTTGCAGATGCTGGACCTGTCTCACTGTGAAAAACTTCTTGGCTTGCATGAAGCAATAAGCAACCTTGTGAATCTATATACTCTAAACCTTGAAGGCTGTCACTACCTTGCTGTATTACCCAAAGGCATGAAAAACTTGAGAAGTCTTACGTACCTGAACATTCTTGAATGTCCTTTACTAACTCAAATGCCTCGTCAGATGAACCAACTCACAAGCATCAAGATATTGCCAAGGTACATTGCAGCAGAAACTCCCAAACATACCATCTCAGAGTTACGTCCTTTAGTTTATTTGAAGGAACTCGGTGTCCAGAACATGGAAAATTCTTCTTCTGCTGATGCCAGAAATGTAATCCTGCAAGACAAACACGAGCTTGAGTCACTGGCATTGAGTTGGACTGGAGATTGCACAGATCCTGAAACTAGCTCGAGAGCACAAGAAATACTTGAACATATGAAACCACGCCGTGGTTTGAAAGTGTTACACTTATTTTCCTATCCAGGAAGGAAACTTCCATCATGGATAAACAGTGGCGTACCTTACCTAAACTCCCTTACTGATATCAAGTTGGTTAATCTGGCATGTGAAAGCCTGCCACCGCTGGGACAACTACCTAACCTCAAGATTGCTGAAGTAAGCGGAATAGATGCTGTCACATGTGTAGATGACACATTCTATGGGGCCGATGGCACATTCTTCTCATTGGAGAAACTATCGTTCTTTCACATGCCCAACCTAAAAACCTGGGTACCATCACACAGAGAAGGACTTTTTCCCTGCCTTCAAGAATTGACAATCGCCCAATGCCCAAAATTGACAGCAGTACATGTAAAACTCGGAGCTGTTACAAGCTTGATCATGCTGATGAACAATGAAAATTTGATTGCATGTAGAGGATCACTCCAAGGTTTGTCTCGGAATCTAAGGTCTCTGTCAATTTCCCTGTGTGAAGAGCTATTAGAAAATTCTCAATGTGAGGGATTGCATGAACTTCATGTGCTTGAGGAGCTCCAAATTTCAAGGTGCACAGAATTAATTTCGTTACCTGGTGGTATGAGGCATTTGTCACTCCTTCGGAGTTTGACTATAACAAAATGCACAAAATTAGAGACCTTGCCAGAGTGGTTGAAGAATATAACCTCTCTGAGATCATTGTGCATATCTGACTGTCCAAAGCTGCACATTCCCGAGAGTTTGAATAATTTGTCACATCTCCAAATTATTTTGGAGTGAAGTCCATCGATTTTCCCTTTATATGGTAAAAACTGTTTATGTAACAGGAGCAAAGAATGGTTATGGTTATGGGTACATTTTTCATTCCCTCGCAGAAAAAAAGAAGAAAGACTGGTTATGAGTACATTTTGATGTTCCTTGTTTTAATATTGTTGACATAAATACATGTGTGGCTTTGCACTACTAGCAGACAGTATGATGACTAGTTGAATGCCCGTGCATTGCTACGGAAGAATGAAAAAAATATAGCGAAAGACTGGTTTTCTCTCACACTCCATCTCTCCTCGGCAATGGTCGTGGTTGGAGTGGCAACGATCCATCGATTCTAACACGAGCAACTTCAGGGCCACCGTCCTCTTCCTCGGCTTGGTCGTATTAGTACACCTGTAGAGCAACTTCAGGGCCATTGCTACTCTGCTCAGTCGGCATACAGGTTCAGAAAACAAAGTACTCCCTCTGTAAAGAAATATAAGAGCATTTAGATCACTAAAAACACTATTATATTTCTTTACGGAGGGAGTAATTAAGAGCTAATAAAAAACCCAGAGCTCTGCAGCCCCAGGTGCTGGAACCTGTATGCCGACTGAGCAGAGTAGCAACCTGACTTGGTTATCCTCCAGATGATAGAATGAGGGATGTCCTGGCATAGCTGAATTTGGGAGTGCTGCAGCTTCTCTAAACGAAGAGGAAATCACTGATGATGTCATTACAGATGCTATACTGAATCTTAATCCAGTTGTGCTCATGTAATGCATCAGCCACCGTGAGCACCATATACCTGTCATGCCTCTGGAGCCACATCCAAGCCCCATGATCGTACTTCTGACAGAATTAATAAGTTTCTATGATGCGGGTATTATTAATCCTATCATGAACCACTGCAATCCAAACAGATTGCTTTGGCAAAAGAAGTAATCAATTTCAAAACTGCAATGTAAGAATATTAGTAACTCACATAGGGCAGGCTTCGCCAGCATTGGCCGGACCGGTGCAGCGCCGCGCTGGCCACGCCGAGAACGCCGACTCAATAATGATGAAGATCCTGCAGTTGAACAAGAATCTGAGCCCCGCGGGGATAGGGCCAAACCCGCACGCGGAGACAACCAGTGGTCTGTTCTTGACGGCGACCTCTTGGGCGGCGCAGGAGTGGGAGGCATCGGCGAGGTGGATTGGGACGACAGAAACTAGGGGATGCGACAGACTGGCTCGAGGGCTTGTTCCCTTTTTACCAGTGGCTTGCGTCCGGTTCTTTTTTTTAGCATCAGTACAGCGCTCATATACACGCGCATACAATCACCCCTATAAATGCACACACGCATACCCTACCTCTATGAGCATCTCCGAAAGACTGAGTCAGCATATCATTTTGAGATTTACGAAGCCACCGTAGGCGCCTCGTCGTCGACGGAAACGTCTCCTCCCACTGAAAGCGCATCGCCGGAATTCTGAAATAAATTCAGTAATAATGCGAGCATCAGAATTTAAACTCTGGTGGATTGAGAATACCACTGTCCATCTAACCATCTCAACTACAGGTTAATTTGCTGCATCCGGTTCTTTCGTGGAACGAAACTGTGCGGATGACAGTTCCTGACCAAACTTTGGTCGATGGGGGATCCAACGGTGCTATGTACGGCTTGATGTGGTGCATCGTGGTAAATCGTCTAGAATTTTTGAAGGGAATTTCTAATTTCCAAACGTTCGTAATATGACAATAGATCTGAACGACCCTATCATCGAGCGATCCGCATAGCACGTTCCCTCAATTCGCTCGCGCGGTACCGATTTTTATTTCCTTCTCTTGAAAACCGTTGTACGTTCGGTTCGGTTTTTTTCTTTTTTCTTCGCTATATTGATTTTTCTCGTAAAAAAATGATAGTGGGAATTGAACCTCGTACCAAGAGGTATAGCTCTACACTGACTAGCCATCTACGCTAATACCTTGCTGGTGCTTAGATACAGATTAGGCTATTTTTATTTTGATAGATGCTGCTAGTGCATTTTATGGGATCCGACTTACCTGCTTTCTTCTCATGCTTCCATCTGTGCTCTCACTTCATCCTACGCTTTTTTTTTCCTTTCTAATCTAATCATCTTCCCCCTTATTTTAAGGGGGTGGGACCGAGCCTAATTTTATTTCAATCAAATCAAGCCACGTACGCGGGAGTACGGATGGGAGCACGCGCAGGGAGCAGACAAGTCTCGTCCCATTTTATGGAGCAAGCTGGATTTGCTTTTCAATTTTTTCTGGATCTGGCCAGCGGTCATGAACCATGCAACGTGGTTCTTTTAAAGATTTTTTTGGCTATTTTTATTCATTCCTTTTTCATCCAATTTTTTTTCTATTTTTCATCAGTTGTCTTTTCTTTGTTGCAAGAAGATTTTTTTATCGAGGCATAAAAATGTTGTTCAAACATAATTCCGGTTTTTTGGGTGAATGGAATGATTTTTTTATGATCGTGGACCTGATAACTTATGCACTTTTCGCAAAAAAAAAACTTATGTACTATCAGCATGATAACTTTAGCCTGAGGAAAAAAAGTTTACAACTCGATAACCTCAACGTGGATAGCATGCTAATATAAGCACCGGAAACCTGTTATCTTACGTACAAACACCAGTAGCAGCAGTGTACTAACCAACTCCACTGCCTTGATTGTTGTCCAATAAGTAGAAATATGACAGTTAACCTTTTTTCACTTTCATATGAGCCAAAAAAACATTTTTCTTCTTGTGTTTTTTGAATTTCTCAAATTGTCTTGTAGTCTCTCATATACCAACGAGTTACATACCTTGCTCATGTAGCCTCGTTGTAAATATCATGGCAACTTCACATGAGTTTTTTTTTATTGAAACAGACCCCGACTTCTATGCAAATGGCATGGTGATTTGTGCACTGGGACCCGATAACTTACGTATAAGTGTCGTGGTAACTTTGACCGGGGGAGAAAATTATTGAAACATCTCCCCGGTAATTTATGTGTAAACAACACGGTAATTTCTGCAAGGCAACACTGATAACTTAGGCTAACACCACGACAACTTTGACCTGAAGGAAAAAAGTTGTTAAAAATGTACCCCGATAACATTTGTATAAACGTCATGGTAATAACACATCATATACATGATAGCTTAGGTACAAACACCATGATAACTTGGACCCCGAGGAAAATTGTCAAAAAATATAACCTCGATAACGTTTGCGTGAATATCATGGTAATAGAAGCACTGCATACATG